TTAAATAAATGAAGCGACCGACCAAACGTCGGTATTGTTCTGGGTTATCGAACGTCGGACCCTTAACAGAGGCGAGCTTATGGTTGAGTTCGATCGGCACCGGAGACGGTTTGGTGCCTAATAGACCAGCTTCGGTGATAATATCGAGAGCATACTTCCTTTGTGATAAACAAAACCCGTCGGGACCGCGAGAGACCTCAATGAAGCGACCGAAGACGAGGAGTTTGATATGGAGAAACCAGGAGAGAGAGCGTGAGGTGTAGAGTGTACTTGGCGGGAGACAACATAATCTTTAAGCAAAACAGAAGGTCTTTTTACACGATGACCCTGGCCTAACAACTCAGGTAAGCCCGGTGAAGGTGGTGGTTCATCACGAGTAGCAGACTCAATATCAGAACCAGCCAAAGAAGCAGAATCAACATCGACGGGAGTGGGTAAAATAGGTGTCGAGGGCAGTGGTGTGGAGACCAGCGGACGTGGTGGTGTAGCCGGTGTGTCATCAACAGTAGTTGACATCGGAGAAACACCAAGGGAAGGTTCAGGTACGGTGGTAGAAGGAGTAACCAACGTTGGAAGGTCGTTAATCACCACTGGTTCAACAAACGAAAAATCTTGGTCAACCTCGACAAGAGAAGGAGATGATGTCGAGATAGTGGAAAATGGAAACACATCTTCTTGAAATTTCACATCTCTACTTGTAAAAAATTGTTCAGTTTCAAGATCAAACAAACGCCATGCTTTCTTCCCAAATGGATACCCAACAAAGATACACTTGCGACTTCGGGATCCAAACTTATCTTTATCACGAGAACGATGATGAGCATAGCAGAGGCAACCGAATGTTCTAATCATAGAATAGGAGGGACGTGAACCAAAGAGCATTTCATAAGGAGTTTTGCCGTTAAGAACAGATGAAGGAGTTCGGTTGATCAAATGTGTTGCAGTTAGAATACTCTCTCCCCAAAAACGTGTTGGTAAATGACTTTGAAAGAGACACGCACGAGCTACATTTAATATATGCCGATGCTTGCGCTCGACACGCCCGTTTTGTTGTGGTGTATCGACACATGATGTTTGATGCAAAATACCATGTTCTTGAAAAAACGAAGTGAGACACATAAACTTTGTCCCATTGTCGCTTCGAAATGCCTTGACCGGTTTATGAAATTGACGTTCAGACATAGCACAAAATTTTTTAATCAAACCAGCAACCTCAGACTTGGTAGACATCAAATACGTCCATACTGTGCGTGAGTAGTCATCAACAAGAGTTAGAAAATATTGAGCTCCACTTGTAGAAGGAGTTCGGTAAGGACCCCATACGTCACAATGTACTAGAGAAAAACAATCCAAAGCTTTATTATTACTGTCAATAAAAACTTCTCTTGTTTGTTTAGAACGAAAACAAATATCACAGCTTTTGATATCTCCAATATCCTTGGAAGATTGAACACATTCTGGTAATGAAAGCAAAACACTAGTAGAAGGATGTCCTAATCTACGATGCCACAAGGCTGCAGAGGATGGTGTTTCCAATGAAGCTGTGTTGACTCTCGCAGCTAGCACTCCGGTAAAATAGTACACTCCCTCACGTTCCTCCCCTGCTCCAATCAAAGTTCTCGAAAAACGGTCCTGCAAAAAACACAAAGTGTCGGTAAAAATGGCTATAGAACCAGTTTGTTTCAAAAGCTTAGAAACCGAGATTAACGTGCAATCAAAATCCGGAACAAATAACACATCCGAGAGCAAATAAGCAGAGGTTAAACGGAGTGAGCCACGTTGAGTAGCTCGAGATAATTGGCCATTAGGAAATGTGACGGAGGAAGGTAGAATATCAACCACGTCGACCAAGATAGAGCTATCTCCAGTCATATGATGTGAGGCTCCTGTATCAATAATAACATCAGTAAGATGAGTTTTACCCGACAACTTTTCAGACGAGGTGGATGGACGTTGACTTTGGAGAAGGTGAATTAGCTGAGTGATCTGATCGGTGCTCTCATCAGAAGAAGAAGCACGAGCATTGCTAACACGACCTCGGCCACGACCTTTAGGAGTACGACCACCTCTTTGAGCATTGTTGCCATGTCCCGAAACGTCACGGGTGTCCGGTGTAGAGGAACGAGGGATACCTTTCTGCTCATAGTACCAGTCCGGGAAACCATGGAGCTGGAAGCATTCGGAGACGTCATGTCCTTTCCGGCGACAGTGAGTACATGACAGTGTAGAACGATCCCGAGAACGTGAACCGGACACAGCTGCAACTTGAGGAGATGTCTCGGCTTGAACCGAAAAACCAATGCCCTCTGTTTTGGTAACTTCACGTGCAATGGCAACATTGAGATTTTGTTCTTCTCGGATGACACGAGAATACACTTGATTCAAAGGAGGAAGAGGCTCTTGGTTAGTGATAGTAGAACGAATATTGGAGAAACGAGGAAGGTCAAGACCAAACAAGAAGCGATGAACTCTGTCGTCTTCCCGTTCTTTGGCGATGTCCGGAGCTGCAGCACAGCTACAAGCATGACCGGTTTTGTAATGTTCAAGTTCTTCCCACAGCTTAGACAAACGTCCATAGTATTTCAAAACAGATTGTCCATTCTGTTTGCAGGCAGAAATCTCATCTTTGAGAACTTGTTTGCGAACACTGTTTCCAACAGAGAACCGATCACGGATCGAAGACCACAAGGTAGAAGCATCTGGGACAGCTCTGATACCATGAAATAACTTTATAAACTCGTGTGTATTATTGATAATGTAAAGAAGTATTTATACATAGCCCAGTTTTCTATTTGCGATAAACCCAAATATAGATAAAATATATTGACATATATTTCCTAATATATCTATTTATATTTAGATTTACCACAACAAGAACAACAGCAAAATTCAATACAGTATCTTCTTCAAGGAGTGTGCTTCACTGCGGTTGATATATATAGGTTATTATTATACAATCCCCCCCCCCCCCCCCTCATTGTCTCTATCTAGTCTCCTAGCTAGTCTTTTGTTGTTTGCTGTAATTAACGTCCAATACAAAACTTGTTCGACTACCTTGTAGTATCAATTTGTTAATTTTAAAACATGCGTAAAGTTCCCCAATCAATGCCTGCATCATATACTCTCTCAATTAGTCATCATATATAATTATTCATCGACTTCTTCTAGACTCTTCTACACTGCCTGATCTGCGTCTTAATTATAATATTATACTAGTATATAAATTATGTTGGTGCAGATCTTTGAACAACACTTTGGTCATGCAAACAAATCTAAAGGTTATTTTAAAACGATAAACCCCAAACGCGTCTTGATACACAGTTCACACTTCACATGCACATGTCACCCGGAAGAATTGACTCTCATCAGATCTTTCTCGGTGTTTGTTGTGTTCACACTTCGCCACGCTCTCTATATATAACAACGGTTTCATAAAATATATATTTTTAAAAAACGGTTTAGTGTCTCCCATTCGAACAAAAATAAAATAAAATAAAAGAGAGAGAGACTAGAGCCACGTTAACTATTTGTCTTGTAATGAAACCTAGCTATTGAATATATTGTTTGACTGGTTGGTGCGTGGGGGATAGCATAAGGTGATAGGACCACGTACGTTGTTGTTTTGTCTGGCAATTCTTACTTACTTGTCCTTTCTTTCTCCATCTGATGTTAATTATTTACAACAACGTACTGGACCAATGGGTTCATCCATCATCATACGTACTTGGTCGACAAACAATAAATCCTTTTAAGATAGATGGTAAGTGGTTTTAAGCCTTTAAGATTTAGTGCTAATAATGATGTTGATTAAGTGGAGAGATGGTCAAATAATAAGGTCAAAGTGAGTCGAGGTGGTCGTAGCTGGTTGGCTAATGGCCATGACTTTAATCACATCCTACTAGTATTAATCAATATATATCCTCCATTTCCAAACCCTTTTGGACGGCGGGACACCTCCCTTGAGTTTCTATTTTTTTTATATATTTTAATTTCTGTTTTCTAGTAACATACTCTAATTAATCTTATACACAACTAGTCGCAGGGTAATGATAAAATAAATCTTATGGATTATGATCGATCATTCAGGTAAATAGGTAGCACGAATCGAACGAAATACTTGCGTGGATATATAATCCTGAAGTGATATATATATATATATATATATATAGCTAAACTTGTATCTATCTATCTAGCTACTATGTGTATCAGCATGTACATATTAACTAAATTAAATCACAAACCGTCCACTTACTTTGTTTTTATATTCCAGAAATGCTTCTCCAATGTTCTACACTTGAGTAAATCATTACTATAAACTGAAGCCGTTTAAAATAATTATAGCAGAAACATACTTAAATTAGTTATATGGGGTTTAGTAGGAGTATTAGGTGGTAGTATTGGAGAAAGAAGTCATCTTCTTGCCGGGGGAATCAAACATCTTTTAATTTCCTTTACACTTGTTGTTACACAATAGAGAGAATAGTACTGTAGATGCTAGTCTGAGGTTCCAAAACTCAAATGATTGAAGTAGGAGTTAGGCTACGTATATACTATAAATTACATATAGATGAGATCTCGATCGCCATTCTCGTCCGTGTGAATTCAACAACATTAGAGTCATTCACTTTTTTGACTTTTTTCTAATTAATTATTATTAGTAGTTTATATCTATCTTTACAGTAAACCGGAATAAAAATTTGAGAAAGAAAGGGTGGGGTGGAGGGGGGGAATGAAAAGGTAAAATGGTTTGGGGCATATTTGTGAGAAGAGGAAAATATCGGGGCGAAAAGTAAGAAAAGAGGAAAAAAGGAAAAGGACTGAAAGGGAAAGGGCTTAAGAAAAAGCAAAAGAGAGGGACCCACAACACGTGGCCTGTGTCATTTGTCTTTGTCTCTCTGTCTCTATCTCTTTCTCTTCTCATCATCTTTCTTCTTCTTCCATCCATCCATATATACATACATAATACATTATTACATTACAAAGAAGAAAGAAAGAAGAGCAAGAGCTTTATATATCCCAACAAAAACAAAAACAAAGGAGAAAAAGAAAGACTCTCTCAAAAGCAAATTAATTAAAGAGTGAAAATGGGACTACAAGGTCAGCTCTCCGACGTCTCCTCCGATTCGATCCCTCTGATGCTAGTCGCTCTCCTCGCCACCTTCTTCCGGCGCCTCCGCTCTCTTCTCCTCCTCCCTTCTACTTCTTCCCCCGTTCTTGTTGTTACCTCCGGCCTCTCTAACATCAGCGTCCTCGCCGACCATCTCAACCTTAATCGCCTCTTCTCCTTCCGCTACGCCGATGACGCCCCCTCCGACTGCATCGTCTGTCTTTCTACTCTCAAGACCGGTGAACAAGTGAGGAAGCTCGACTGCAGACACGTCTTCCATAAGCACTGTTTGGAAGGCTGGCTCCAACACCTCAACTTCAGTTGCCCGCTCTGTAGATCTCCCTTATTGCTACCTCATCCCAGTCATCCTCATGCCCATGGACCTGGAAGTGATGCTCCTGCGCCGATCTCAACCACCACTGCTACTGCTACTGCTACTGCTGCATCATCTCATATGTGAAGAGAAGAAGAGGGGAGGATGCGTTTTTTGATCTCGCGGCCCTTTCTCCTCTTTCTTTCCAAGATTCTTCATCATTCATTTCTCTTTATTTATTACTCTTCTTTTTCCTTTTTTGGAGGATTCTCAGATCGGAGAGGTCCTTTGTTCTTCAAGAGTTCCACTTGTGTTTTCATGTAAATATATTTTAGTATGAAAATAATTAGTCTAGCTTGCCTTTAGAGTAATCAAATCTTTCTTCTTCTTTCTATGTTAAAACAGAGTAATCCAAGCTTTGCAATTTATACGCTCAATATTTTTGCACAAGATTGACCCAAAAAAAAACATCATACTATTACTACTAGTCTACTTACTACTTCCATTTAAAGACTTTTTGACATCTACTGATGAGAAAAAGAGGACTTTGATAATTAAAGCTATTGAGATTTCTGATCCGACCATTGTCTTTCATCAGATTCATCTCTCTTCTGAGTATCACATTTTTTTGCTATCTAGTAGCTAGTTTCTAGATGGATTTGGTTGGGTTTTTGGATATGCCTCCGTCCTGGGAGCATCAGTGAACTTTGAACCTTGTGGACTTTTTGTTCTTGTTTGCACTCTTCGCATTTATATTAATTTATTGCTATTCCTAGTAAATGATAGGAGAAATTAATAAAGAAAATACTCTGCCATTTTCAATTTTCTTATCTACTAAACCTACATTGATACATGCGATGCGAGTTACAAAGACATAAAAAAAAGTTTTTTTATCAAATATATTGCTAGATGCAATGTGAGTTGCAAATCTGTCAACGCTTCGAGTAATTAGTCTTCTCTCCATCTAATTGCCTCTCCACTCCTACAAATTGCACATTGTAGTTTCTATTTTGCCTGTTTTATTAACGTTCTAATATTTTATAACTAACACATTCAATCAAAATGCTGGAATAGCTCAGTTGGTTAGAGCGTGTGGCTGTTAACCACAAGGTCGGAGGTTCGACCCCTCCTTCTAGCGATATTTTAGTCGGCAGGCCTTGTTTTTTTTCCTATATATAGTTAATTACTCCATTTGTTTAGAGCATTAATGATGAATTAGGAAGGTGAGTTGAGATGTTGCTTACTTGCTTTGCTTGTATATAGAAAGAGAGTAAATTTTAGCTTGAATGACTTTACTAAAGAAATAACCCCCAACGATTGGAACATTGTTTCAGCTAAGAATGTTGGAGACAGGACCCGTAAACCAGTGCCGGGCGCTGAGGAGCCAATATGAAAGGGTTATGGCCACCAAACCAGCTACTGCCACCGGAGTGTAGTTGAGTGTCTCCGCGGTTATGGGATATGCCACAGGCAAGGAGAAGAGGACCGAGATTGTTGCAACCCAAAGGACTGCCACCCATCCGACTACCATTCCGTACCTCCCCAGGCTGAATGGTCCAGGCACGAAGGTGTTACGTGCAAGCGTCACTCTCAAAATAATTGGGATTGCGTATGCTATGTACAGTCCAATCGTTGCTATCGACACCATTGCTTGGAATGCCACAATGCTCCCCAGCGACTGTCAGTTTCATTTCATTAATCAAACATGCTGTAATCTCAACACAGAGAGACAACCACGAAAAGAGAGAGAGGGACTTACGGTGAGGGCCATACAGAATGAAATGAGGGCAGAGAGCCAAACTGCATTAATGGGGACCTCTCTTCTGTTCACTTTGTGCCATAATGGGGACATTGGCATCGCTCCATCTCTCGAAAACGCATAAGCCATCCTGATTAACCAAACATAAATGCATTTGATCAAGCACTAAGTGCAGAAAACGCATAAGATAAATATATATATGTACCTGGAATTGCTGGTGACGGAGCTCATGCCGCAAAAAAACACAGCAACCGCAACAATGCCTAAGCACACGATTCCACCAGTACCGCTACCAAACCTATTCTTGAAAGCTAAGTAGAAGATTTCAGCAATGGCGTACCCACCAGAGTTGTTGGTCTCACTCAGAAGGGAAGGTATGCCAGTGACCGCATAGCTTATGCCCAAAATATAGCCCCATCCAAAGAGAATTGATATCCCAATAGCACTGATGATTCCTTTTGGCCCGTTCTTGTCTGCATCGACCGTCTCCTCTGTCTGCAAATTTACTTTTTGTTCCATCATCAGGGAAAGCTATTCAATCATTAAAAGAAAGAGTCCCTTTGCATCGATACTCACCATGTGGGCAGAGGCATCATACCCTGTGATGGTGTACTGACTCATGAGGAGCCCCAAAACGAATATGTAAGCGTAGCTGGTGATGCCGAGGCCATTATCAGTGTTGAAATTGGTGAATACAAACTTAGTAGTAGCTCTTTCCGTAGACACCAAAGGAATCAGAATCATGAGCACCAAAACCCCTGGAATATAAGAGATGGTTGATTACTTTACTTGTGTGTGTTGTTGAGACATGACCCATGAGAGTTTGAAACACAGAGATCAGAAGAGAAGGAGATGCGTACCAAGCAGATTCCAGAGAGCAGCAAGCTGTCCAATGAAAGACAAGACGGAGATGGGGAGGCTGTTGAGAAGAGCGTGGATGAAGAGGATTCCACCATGGATGCCAATCACAACATAGTCGGAACCTTCATACCCGCCGCCGTTTCTACCGCCGGTGGAGAGAAGCACAATGACCTGGATCAGCTGTGCCAGAGAGAAGTCAACGCTCGCCGTCACAGCCCACTGCAAACAAACCAAAACCTTGCCTTTTAGCCAAACAGTGATCTAATAAAAGTGAAGCCTAAAAGGTTCTTCTCTCTATCATACTACACCTGACCAACGATGTTAAACCTGAAAAGATTGTGAAAAGCAACACATCAATCAGAGAGATAAAACGTTGTTGGCTTCCGATTCAAATTTCAAATGGAGCTCGATATCGTACCAGCCGGTCATCCAAGAGGCAAGTGGTGCCCAGCGAGGGCCGGCGAGCATAGCACTCCAGTAGTAGAGACCGCCGGAGGTCGGGTAAGAGGAGCAGATCTCGGCCATCGATAACCCAACACACATTGTGAAGGAGCCGGCCACGAACCATCCGTAGACAAGAGTGACGGTGCCGCCGAACCTCAAGCCGGTGTTGTAGGTGGTGGTGATCCCCGTGAGCACCGATATGATGGAGAAGGAGATGGCGAAATTGGAGAAGACCCTGAATTTTAACAAATGTTTTTTTATTTTAGCTTAGAGAAACTGAAATCTAGAAGAAGAAGAAGAAAGAAAGAAAGAGCGGAGACAGACGAGAGATCACGCTTGAGCTCTTGCTTGTAGCCGAGCTCCTTCAGGCGGACTTGGCCGGAATCCATGGCGGGATGAAAGTCACCGGAGAATCCGCCCATAGTCCTGGGGAGTCCAAACTTGTTTGTTGAGCTGTCTTATTGCGGATGCGATATTCTGTTAACGATTACTAAATGTGTATAACTCAAGGTAATTAAAAACAAAACAAAAAAATCGTTAAGAGTCTTTCACCATTATACTATTCTCTCTGGTTGACAATTTTTGATAAATTTCTGTGACAAAACTATTTATTATATATTTTACAAAATAAAAAGGTGATTGATCTCATGGTCTAAAATCACTTTATGAAGATAGTGCTTTTTCTCGGAACAATTCATTCGACCACGACATGTAAATAACGTGTTCAACATATAGAATAGAATAGAGCCGTGTGGAGCACAGCCTTCATTGGAATGGGGAACTAGGGTGGTCTTTCGCTTTTGCAGGATCTCAGGGAAATTAGCATCTCTACTAGACGAGATTGGCAAATGACCAAAAGTCTCTCTCGGCACCAAATTCATGCTGCTTGGTTTCATTAGACAGAATTGGGCTAATATAGCTTTTGACCAATCTCCAAAACTTGAATCCATTTGTCATCCAGGACGCCATTATGGTCATCATGCTATGGTTACCAGATATATGCAACCCGTTTAAAGGACATTTGCTCCCTTATTGTCCATTTGGATCCGGCACATACTAATGTTTCCGCATGAACAAAACTGGCACGCCTCAACCATTGCGCATTATGAAAATCCAACTCAAACTATATGTTAACATTTATCAATATAAATTGGTCTCTGCTTGAAAAAAAAAAAGAAGCCAAGAATGAAGAGTAGATTTACAGATGTAAGGGTTGAATACACATACATACGTAGCTATACCATCCACAATCTCACAGATGGCCAAAATGAAAACAAATAATGAATGAAATAATGAAAAAGAAGGATCATCTGGGAGGAGTAATGGAAGAGCCAGATTCCATGTTTTCGAGAGAAATTGAATCAGTCTGCAGAGACATTGTCCTCAGGGCATCTCTGTTTTGGGAGGTCACAGGGACTCCATCACGTTCTTGAGCTGCCTTGAAATAGGCGTAGGGACCCCATCCTTCTTCGTGGTAAGGGTTGGGGTAGAACTGACGGTAGCAGAAGGCCGCTACAAGGAATCCGATGAGAGCTCCAGCGAAGACGTCTTGCCAGTGGTGCCAGTAGTCATCCACACGAGATATCCCAACAAGGCAAGCGGCGAGCAGAGGGAAGATGACGAGGCAGAGCTTAGCCACGTGTCCTTCTCCGTTGAAGGCCTTGATCTTGCCAGAGAGGTAGAGGGAGAGGAAAGTGAGCCCCGCAAAGGACCAGGAGGTGTGTCCGCTGGGGAAGCTCTTGTGGCCTTCCTTGACCTCTCCTGGTTTGCCGTGGCAGATGACACCTCCCAAGGCATCATAGAGCTCTTTGCCGTCGGGGAAGCAGCGCCAGTAGAAGTTAGGACGAGGGCGTCCGGTGGCGAGCTTGATGGAGTCGGTGATGACACCAGTAATCAAAACGGAGAAGAGGAGGCCGAGAATGCTGTGGTGCAGATCGTACACACATGTCCTCTTGAGGTAGAAGCAGGCGAAGACAAGGATGGGAAGCAGCACCGCGTACACCGGGACAGACCAGACGGGGACGGTGTTGTCCTTGAAAGGGTACTTGAGGTCAGTCATCATGTCCTTTCCGACGTATCGGTAGAAAGGAGAAATGAGGTTGAGGACGATCTCGATGGCAATCAAGATGACGAGTATGACCCAGTCGTGCTTGTGTTTAGAGGCGACTCGTCCTCCATGGCTCCTAATAGTGTGAACCCCAAGATCTATCTCTTGCATCCTCCCTCTCTGGGCCTCCTGCTCCTGCCAAAACACAAGTACAATCACAATCAATACATTGGAGAGTTGTATGGATCCAAAAACAAGAGAAATATATTACTACTAGTTGAGGGTTTGACATGTCCGGTTTGGATGACAGCAATAACGGAATGCAATTCATTCTGTCGGATGAAGAAAAATTAGGTCAAAGGTAAGTAGAGCTTAACAAAGAACTTTGTCAAAAGACAACACTTGCTGTAAAGTAATGGATCCAGCCACTTTTTTATGTCTGTCTGATTCCGTTGTGCACAACACACACTGTTTCATTAACAATGTTTTCGTTGACTTGTTGATTTAACTTAACAAGTTGGGTCCTTTTTTTGGTTTTGGAAATTTAATTCCAATTTCTAGTGATTAATTATAGTTAAAAAAAAAAAAAACAAAAAAAAAGGAGAGTAGAACAGAGAAGAAGAGTGGATTTACCTGAGAATTGCCCCAGAATTTGAAAGAAGAGAAAAACGATCCAATAGTCATCGGAAAGTGAAGATCGAGAGGGAGCGAGAAAAGAAATAATGTGGATCGAAACTTAATTGAGAGGAATTAATCAGAATAGGTAGAGAATAGAGATGGCTATGGGAAGCCTTAAAAGACGAACAGAAGAGGAAGACGCGTTTTTGTTTCTGTGTGTGTCTCGGAAACGAAGTTATATCCTTCCACTTGATGATGCCCGACGGTTGATAGAGAAGAGAGTTTCTGATATTTTTATATAATAATTTTGATTGGTCAGTCAGAAGAAACGAAACTCTATCATCAAATCTTCTTCTATGGAATTTGTTGGTAGCGTGAAATGTTCTTCGAGCCAAGTGGTTTGACTTTTCAGTTATCGCCTGCCGGTCGGTTTTCGGGTCTACTCGTCTCAGCCGCGTCGCGTGGGTCCCTTTGTTTTTATTAAGAGAGGAAGGTTCGGAAAAAGAGCGCTGCGTTTCTGGGCTTTTTATACTTGTTAGGCCTTCATATGGGCCTTCACTACTCCTTTTATCTTGCCACATCCATTTTTACCTGGCCCATATAATTTCAATTATCCAATTAATAATAATAAAAAAAAGACAGAATTTGGATTTGGAAAGCTTTAGCTGGTTAGCTACCCCTAAATAGTAAATAAACATTTCCCGACTAATACTGCTCTCAGCTTGGGTTTAGAGAACCCAATATCCTTCGACGAAAAGTCACATTTCTTTTTTTTTTTTTAATATCTGCTTCTTTTGTTTTTGGAGTAGTGAGAGAGTGGTACATTTCAACAACAACTGGACTCGGACGCGAGAGATGCTTGAGAACACTTGAGGAATCTTTAATTTGTAAGAAAAAAAAAGTAAAGAAAAGAAAAGAAAAGAAAAAGATGAATTGGAGATTGAAACGATCTCGAGGAGCTATTGACTGACACTTATGGTTGAACCAGATAGGAAGATGAGTCTGTAGAGCACGCAATTAGACCCACTGCACCTTTGTTCTTTTACCAACGAAACGAGTTATAGTTTAATTACGTACACTTACCCAAAAACTGGCTCCAGATAGATCGGGTACATTAGTGTGATTAATAATCTCCTCGGACGTGTAATAGAGAGACTAGCTAGCTAGCATATAAGAATGTATAGGGACTATTGGTTAATAAATTTGTATTTTCTTATAAGGGTTAAAAACTTTTGAAATCATAGTATTATATTATTATATGCATGCAATAAAAGGATAAAATGTATACAAATATACGTACATACTATTACTCTCTATTTTTTTTTTTTGGACAAAACTATTACTCTCTATTAGGTTGGAGTTATACGTTGTAGAGTGGGGTTAGTGGGTCCAGTAGATGGATGGGCTTTTTAAACTGCTGGATGCATATGTTTTGTTTCTGTCACAAATAATAGGAATATATTTTTACAGATTAATCTCATATTGTTTGCTTCACTCCCAAATCAAAAAAAAAGAAAAGAAGAAGGAAGACAGTCAAAGATTATATGATTGCTTTTGTAGCCTCTGCAAGCTAAATATTCTAAAGGTTAACCCATTTTTTATTTGGATAAAAAAATTTAAGGTTAACAAAAAGTAAAAGTTTAAAAAAAGAAGGCAAAAGAGAGAGAGAGAGAGAGATGAATCCCAAGGTTTTATAGACGACATCTCGGCCTTCGAGACGCCCAAAATAAGAAAACTTACCAAAACAAAAAGAAGCTATCAGAAACACAACAAACTGTGGCTTTAAATAAAACGAATCTTAGAGCATTAATTTTATAGTGCAAAACGGAGTTTAGAAGAAGGTATGGCAGCTAAAAGTATCATTATTGCTGCTGTTGGTTGCCTGAGAGAGCTGTCGTTTAGAAACCTTGAAAAGATAGATAAGCTAAAGACAAACTAGAAGTACGTAGAAGAAGACTTATGAACGTTCATAAGTACTACAAGTTTTATGTTTATGCCTAGTCTTCAGTCGACCGTCGTTTTATTTTGCAACAACAAATTAATGTCGTCGTATATATACATATATGTTCTGTCTTTGCAACAACTATTATATTAATAGAACATGCATGAGACATGATGAACATCAAAGATTCAAGAGCAAGAAAGTAGTAGTAGTGGCATCTTATTATCATGCAATGCATGAGCATGGATTGGTCGACGACATATATAATGGCATACACAGTACCTTGCATGCGTTGCACCCATTTTCCTTTTACCAATTTCTTCTTCTATTCTTATAATTACTTTCCAAAAGAAATTCGTTGATGATAATAAAATGGATAGTTAAGTCCTTTTAATTAGTTTCTTCGATCGAATTGACATGTATATACGTACATATATGATGTATACGTGGTGGACCAATAATCCCAAAAGAACTAGTTCTTCTCTATCTGTAACTGTAATAATAATATCTGAGAGAGAGAGAGAGAGAGAGAGTAGTGTGGTGGATCCATATCATGCATATTCTTTCTTTAATTTCTTTCTTTTGGATTTATATTTATAAGAAGAAGAAAAGTTAGCCATATTTTTTTTGGGATTTTCCAACGTAAATGCATCCGTCCTTGTCAAGCTAAAGAGAAGCCTCTTAAAAATTAATTCGGATGCATTATCTTTCTTCTTTCCTTCTTTCGTATGTAACTGTTAGTTTTGAAGGAGACGTTACTTGTACTCCTAATCGAGGGGTAGACTAGTCATCATCACATGTATTTTCCTTGCCCAAACCAAAAATAAAACAAAGTCATCTCATGCATGTATTATTGTCATTGAGAGAGAGTTGAGAGAGTTGACTCGGCGGGATATAATCAATAGAGGAATACACAAGTATGGTTGAAAATAAAACTTTATCCATGTACACAAGTAATCTACTAAGTATCTTAGTAACATGAAATTTTATTATCCTTCCTTCGTATAATCGTATGTGTGTTTATACTAATGACACTTTGCAAAAATGGCTTTGCATGAGCGCCGCCTGGAGCTTTTACTCACGCTCTTTTAATTCTTTGACTTACACGCGCCGTTTTTATATCAAATAACCTAAACTACTCTGTATATCTACAGAATTAATGACAGCAAAAAAAAAAAAAAAAAAACAAAAACAATCTATATTTATGTAAATCATAATAATCTTTTACCATAAAAAGTGGACAATTAAATTCAAAACTAAATATATGTAAACAAATATATTTTGAATATACATAAACATATTTATTATTAATTTAATATGTTAATATAATTTCAAAATTAATAATTTATATAGAATGAAATCTAATAAAACAAAATCATCATATCTAAAATAACAAAGATAAAATTTTTTAGAAAAATAAAAAGATAAAAAATATGTTAGCATATGAAATAATCAACTAATCAAATTCTACATAGTATATATACATAACTGATCATATCATAAAATTTTAAAAAATTATATAATTTTTAAATATAAATAAAATTTAACTAAATCAATAATTAAATATTTGTTTGCTAAAATCATGCGAATAAACATTCTAAATCACATAAATTTCTTATTTTCACATAAAAAATATTCATATTCAAATATCAATCTAGCAATTATAGCACAAATGATATCTACAAAATTTATCATTAATTCAATTAGTTAATGATTTTTATTTGGTCAAACCCTTAGTTAATGATTATTCTAAACTTCTTTTTTCTTATTAATTTCACACAATCTTAACAAAATAAACCTTCATCCATTGGCAATTTGCATATCATTACTATTATCAAATATTAAATAATTGTTTTATCAAATCATAAACTACATTTTGAGATTATAAACATATAGAATTTCTATTAAGATAAAAACTAAATAACAAGTGGATATATCACATTTAAATGATTTTAACGAATTATTACCAATTTTTAAATAATAAATGGATTATATTTTTAATGATTTAATCTAATTGAAAACAAATAAAATGTCAAATTGGTATGATATAAATGATATAATAAATAAACATCTACAAACATTA